TGTTTTGATTATTGACACTTTCGTTTTGACACGAGATATTATTATGAATGTTTTTATACTGATGGTTTTATGTAATAACTTAATTAAAACGAAATTTTTGGCTGTATTTTTGGGATGTTACACCAAGTTATCCAGAAGTGAACAGTTTATGCTTTGTTGGTTGTTGATTTTCTATTCATAATTTTTTTTATTAGTATTACTAGTCCTTGCTTACTTTTTTTGGTACAATCAGATTTTGATTGAAGATGTTCAAAAGGCTTTAGAAGTATGGGAGAGTCGAGAATTCACCCAACGTGCTGAACAAACTCTTCCTTTGCTTTACAATGTTGTTGATTTGCTATCACTAAAGGTTTTTTTTCTTCTTGTTTGACCTTAGGTTCTTTATTGGCATGCTATTGCTTTGGTGCATCTGCTGTTTCTTATGTTCAATGTTCTCTTATCACAGGGATACATGGAGCTTCATGCTAAGATGTATCAGGCACTGATCCGTTTGCTCCAAGGGAATGGCAAAAGTTTGGAGGAGTGCTTGGTCATGCTTTGGCGAACTCGAAACCTTAGTCATGCGCTCTGTGCTTCACCCATACATGACTCCTTCATCAAGGCATTATCAATTCATGAAAAACAGTGCACATTTGGGATATCTGGATAAGTGCTATGAGTGAGCAAAAGTGGCTACAAGATGGATTCCACCTAAGTTTGTCAGCCTTTTCAACATTTTCCACCCCACATTCTCTAGATCTAAATCATACCCAATGTATGGTTATGTCTGCAAGTCTGCCTCTTATCTCATGGAAAATGTATAATTCCTGACTCCTTGTATTAGTTTATGTTGCATGGCTCTTGTGATTGCATTACATATGCTGAGTTTATCTACCATCACTTCTTATTTTAGGAACCTCAGTCCAACAATTATTTGTTCTTTGCTGCACATCTTTATTATGATTTTGGTGAAAGACTGTGTGCAAAAGGTTCAATGATCGAGGTACGTGATTTGTTCTCAAATTCTATATATCATAGATGTTTCATTGCCGTTTTGTGTCTTTTATTTTCCTAACTTGTAAAGCTAAATTGCCTCAAGGATTACTGTGGCATTCTATGTTGGGAGGATTTTGTATTCTGTTGTCTTTTTTCATTTTAAAACTCGTGATATATAGATCCTAAAGTTGATGTAGATCCCAATACTAGAATCATAGATGTAGAAAGTTATATTCGGAAGGTTGTGAATGCAATGTATATACACAATGGAAAGTCTCCTTTTTGCTACTCTGTATAAGTGAACTGGAAAAACCTATGCTTCTTTGCCTTTAAATTTTGAAATCTAGAAGGATTTAATTTTGTTTGCTTTCTTTCTTGGGTGTTTATGACTTGGTAAATTTCTTGTGGCACTAGATTCTTCTATTCTTTGTAAATTACTCTTTGACCTTACATGCTTAAATTAATGACAAGATATCGTTCCTCACGTTAACATTCAAATTGTTTTTTCTTTGATCTCAACTTAAATGCTTGTTTTTTCTTCCTTCTTTGCTCCCCCTAGCAGTCTCTACCCTTGTGTGGAGGCACGACTATGTACGTCTTACCTCATTCCAACCCCATTTATGTGGGATTTGCGTTATGTTGTTGTTGTCTTTTGCAAATTTTCACTTCTAATTGGACATTGATTCGTTTAGGAGATTTAATAATTCTTTTTGGTTGGTATCTCATAAGCATGTCATGTAGTTAAGAATGCTTTTAAATTTTTGGCCACATATCTTACTATGTCTATGAGAAAATTTCTTGTTGATCTTTATCTTGACAATCATCCTCGTTTGGTGGTGAACTTTTTTCATATGCACCTAAAACATAACCTTTTCTAACGAGTTATCTCTTTTTTATAGGCTTGTTATTATGCAAAGAAAGCCTTCATTTTGCGTAATGAGCTTTTTGGCAAGTATTTTTGGCCCCCAGTAGACTGATGATACATATTATGGACTCAAAGACGTGACTTTTGTTCATCCCGTGAGGGCCACAACAGCATGGCCACGTGATACGTATTCAGTTTACTTAAATGAGTGTTTGTGGACATCATGGAATGTACTGAAAGCTTATTTAGAAAGCAAGCTTCATGTATAGTTTCTAGTTTCTGACCTTTGTTTCACATTTAGTTCACATTTCTTCTTAATATGTTACATGTTTTGTTAATGTATTTTAGTTGGCGACCATGGAAGAAATTATTGGTAATATATCCACTGCGGAAACGGAATTACTCAGTGGAAAGGACATCTCTTCCTTCCTACACTTGCTGATTTTTGAATTGGGATTCTCTAATGCTTTAGGTATGCATTTCGTTCACTTTTATGCTCTCTCTGTTATACACTCCATGAACTGAATGTTGAACATGACTCTTTATATGGGAAACAACAATACTTTTATTAAGATACTTAAGAAGAACTTTACACTTCGAGAGACTACTAGACACTTTTCTTTCTTTAAGGCTTTTTTTGGATGGTTTGGAGCAAATGAGCTCCACACCTATTTATAGGCCTCATAGGAAGATTTTAGGTACTACAATACACTTACTACTTACTAGACAACTCTAGAGCTATCTAACATACTCTATAAGCTTCCATATCTTTCTAGAATGTTCTACCATGTTCTGGAGAGGTCTAGGTTGCTACAATGTCTTCTAGAATGATCCATGACCATCCAGGGTCTTCCATGTCGTTCTAAAGTATTCTAGACTCTTCCGGTATATTCTGGAGTCTTCCATAGTCTTCCATAATGTTCTAGAGCATTCTCGAACAAGCTAAAGTCTTTTAGATAATATTTGTTCTATTGGGCCAGTGATGATCTTTAACAGTGAAAAGGGTATCCAATTGAAATTTTGTTTATTTTTTCAGGAAAATATATTTGGGGCAAGGACATTGGGATTTTGCCAAATCGAGCTAAAAAAGGCCAAAATATAGCAAATTTCTCGATTGTTGCAGGAAATGCAAGTTGGTTTGGAAAGCTACATACAGCCAGCATAATGGTCTGGTTTTAAGCATGCAACCTACTACCTCAAACAAACCGGAACTTGCTGAAAAAAGTTAAATGGCAACTAGAAGATATCGGAATCAGCGGGAGTGGAAAACAAATTCTGTTAGTGACACAGAGAAAGCAAGTAAACAGAAGATAAAATTGTGTGGTGCTCTTTTGAGTTCTGGGCGGGAAACGGGAGAAACTGGTGATGATTTTAGTGATGTGGAGTGCTGACATTGTTTTTCTTCTGAAATCATGAAATACAACTCCATTCAAAATAAAATAAATATGAAATGGGAGTTCATACGCAGACATATCCTACTTAGATAACTCATCATCGGGCTTGGTATGATAACTTTTTTTCGAAAACTTCACCTTTTTTTATTTAATACATACCAGGTTTGGATATTTTTTGAACTGACTTTCCCCTTTTTTTAACTGACATGGGCACAGAAAATTTGCACCTTCGTGACAATAGTAAGGAAAATGAAGAAACACGTCGTGAACTACATCAAGTACTCTCCAAGAGCATATCCGTGCTTGGCAGCAAAAACACGTTTTGCTCGTCAAATGTCTTGACTTCCAAAGCTTTCTTGGCTAAGCTCATTAAGAAAGAAATAAAATCAGAGATGTTTACGATTGAACAAGCATCAGTCATGTGTAACACATGCTGGTTATCATTGTGGAGAATCTGCAACAACATAACAAGGTATGGCTAGACAGACAATTACACAATATGTTTGTTTTTAAGGTTATCTTCTCATGGAATAGCTGTTTTACATACCACATGTTCGCTGCCTCTATTTAGAGCTATATGTTACCAAGTTACATTAGATTAGATATGACAATAATTTTTCATTAAAAGAATCTGAAAGAGTACCCAATCAACCAGGACGGAAACATTGTACATAATTTTTTCATTAAAATATCAACTTGCACTTAATGGGGTTGCATGTCTGCCTTGTTAAAGTACTTATAGATGCTTAAATACAAAAGTATTCCCATTGTCAAAGAATGTAACATATAAGACCATTATCTGATGATTTTTCTGAGTAAATATTTTTAAGATGAGATGCAAATCAAACTCAATAACTCATATATAAGTCCTTAGTGACCCGCTCCTTAAAGCCGTCTGTTCGGTACACATACATCATGCCTTGTGTCTGTATAAACTCCAGTTTTGAAATGAAAACGCATCCTTTTTATTATTTATTATTTTTATTTTACTAATGCTCTATGGGTATTTATCTTTGTAGGAATGATAAATATGATAAGTTGTTTCTTTCCATAGAGCTTGTTGAGGCCGGCTTAAAATTATGTTTCATACATTGCAACGAGGTTCCTCATCTATTCCAAAAGGTTATTATCGCTTTACTTTTCTTTTATTGTGAAAGTTAAATTGAAGAGCATCATGAACGAACAGCTGGAAAATGCTTGTATTATTGCTTCGGTGAATTATGAATTATATAGAATTCTTGTGGGTTTGACATGCCTAGCTAGCTCTAATGCTTTTAAGTATATGCCATCTTAGATATTGATGATTGAATACAATGAGCGTATACATTCTAATTATATTTTTTGACCATTGATAATATCACAGGCTTCAAGACTGTTAGTTGTCATGTATATAGTTTCATCTTCAGGATTTCCAAAGTTGTCGCCCAACCCTGCTCTTCTAGAAGAAAGTCAGCTTGCAGCTTTTTTCCATCAAGCATCCATCGGAGTAGGGTTTAACAGTAAGTTGTTCTCTCATATTAGAAAACAGGAAGAGCAAGACGATATTATAAATATTTTATACAATAATTCTTTTTCTTAATGCATTTATCCAATGATCATATTAGTTAGGCATTTAGCTTATACAATAATCTTTTATATCTATTCTCATTTACATCCAAATGGTTCTTGTGCTGTTCTTTGGAACGTTCTTTCATGATCCGAGTGTCCCTTGTTAGATAAATGTTTATATTAGAGGTTCCTTTGTGTAAATGCGTAGTCTATATATACTCTGTAATATTTTCCCTTTCTGAATACAATACACAATTACCAAGTTTAGCTTGGTATTAGAGCCAATAATCCTCTCTCTAAAAATCGGCACCTCCTAACGTAACCCTAATCCAGCCGTCACCTGCCTCCCTGCTGCTGCCGCCTACCACCTGCTGCCCACTACCATTTTTCCGCTACTTCTCTTCATCATGACTACTCTCACTACATTCTCTTCAGCAGAAAAGACATCTCACAACTCCCATAAGTTTGGCTTCACCCTTTCTCCTACAAACTATGGATATTGGAAGGCTATGATTCAATCGTTTCTCATCACCACCAATCTTTTTGGCTATGTTGATGGCACAATCCCATGCCCTGCACCTCTGGTCACAACACCTCTACATCTCTGGTCACAACACCAGGTAAAGAAGGAGGTCCCGTTACTACTACATCCAATCCTAGTCATTCAATTTGGATCTCAAATGATGCACATGTTCGTATGCTCCTCATGTCAACCATTTCAGAAGCATCATTCCAACATGTCTAAGGTACAACTTCTCGTGATCTCTAGCTAACCCTTGGACCACTACAAGAATAAGCATATATAGAGACGGGATCTACAGGGACGACATATGTCGTTGCTATACACGCCCTATAGGGGACGCCATGTCGTCTCCATAGAGTTTGACTTTCCTTCTACTCACCACAATTACCGTGTTCTCAATATGCTAAGCGGGAAAGAAAGTAGGAAAGGCGCGGTTTTGGGGAAGGCAACAAGTCGTCCCCATAGCTTTCTATGCCTTAAATCAGGAGAACAACCTTCTTCGCTTCATTCACGCACACTTAATCATCGGTCTCGCTCTCAAGAGAGATAGAGAGAGAGAGAGATCGGAGATTCTCCTCCAGCGATTTCCTCACCTCCCACTCCTTGTGAATGTTCTTCCTCTCTCCATAGATTATGATACTAGTTTCCGAGCACAATCGTCGGGCTCAACAATGACGATTAGTTTCAACGCCGATCTGACTACCGACTTCCTTTTCACATCCGGTTATGAATTCTATCGAATACAAGCTCCACGCCCGCTATCAGGTTAGTAATTCTCTGTTTATTGAGGTAAATGTTAGCAATTATGTGTTTGAAATTGGAATTGGTATATAGGTTAAGAATGATGATGACGACAAACTCAAATTCCATAACTATTTGTTTTCAGTATTCCTCTGTTGTTTCAACTTTAACTTCTATTAGTTCCATTTTGTAGGTTTTTGTAGATTTGTTCATTGATCCACAGCGAATGTTAATTCTTATTGTTGCAACTGCTTTTAGAACAATTGGATATGAAATTGAGGTAATTTTGTTGTTCATGAGACTCTGGGCTTCTTTAATTGCTATGATTTTAGTTGCATAGTAATGAAAATATTTAGAATAAATTCAAGAAATTTGATGTCTGAAAATGATATGACTAGCTTGTCCTTATCGCTTATGAAGCACTAGAAAGTTGTATGTCACTTACTTAAGAACATGAACTCAATTAGAAATAAGAATTATTTTTTTTACAGGTTTACTCACTTAAAGAGGGGCCTGTGTATACTGTCAGAATATTGGAGCTCTAGTGAATATTTTGGAAGCTAGTGGGGATAAAAAAGACTATAATTGACTGGCTCAAGTATGTTTTTCCTTTTTAACACAAAAGGTTTTCTTTAATCCATTATCTTTGAATTTAGTATCTTTTACTCTTTTGCATGATCTTTGTAGCTATGATGTCATACTTACGAGTTCTTTTCAAGCAAAAGAAGCAAATTACAGGGTAAGTTTACTGACTTTTATCTTATCATTATTTCACAATCCAAATGTTTTAGTATCTCAAACTTTAAAAACCATCTTAGTTTACTAGAGTTTTTGTTATACAAAAGATGTTATGCTCTCAACCTTCAAACTGCTTAACAGCCCATCAAGTCCTATGTATGATCTAGGTCTATTTCTAATGATGAGGGTGACAAGGGCATTTTTGTCTTTTATATCCCATTGACATTAGTCTTAGTCCCAAGGCCAATCCAGTACACACAAGACAGTTTTCTGTTATGTTTTTGTGAGACTGGAAGTATTTATGTGTTGATGTAATTAGAACAGGTCATCCATGGATATGTGAAAATGGGGTTGCTCCAGATAGAGCACTTGATCCTGCTGTTCTTTCTCGTTTGAAGCAGTTCTCAGCAATGAATAAGTTAAAGAAGATGGCTTTAAGGGTACATAACTGAAATTGTTTACTTGCTTTTCTTTTTTGGGATAAGGTCACTGTTTCTATTTCATGCATTAACCTATTTTGGCAAATGTTTTGTGTTGTATTGTATGTATGGTGACAGGTAATAGCTGAAAGCTTGTCAGAAGAAGAGATTGCAGGTTTGAGGGAAATGTTCAAGTCAATGGATACAGAGATTCGAGACCTTATGGATGCAGTAAGATTAGTATTTAATCACTTAATAAAGAAAGTTATAGAAATAGCCATTTATTTGTTTATTATAAGCATATTCTACTTTTATCATAGGCTGATGTGGACAACAGTGGCACAACAGATTATGGGGAATTTGTATATTTTCAGGTGTGAAGGTGGTGATGCAAGCAAGTAAACAAATTGGATGAAACTTTTAAACAATTTCAGATTGTGTAGTATGTTTTGGTAAACAATTGTATAAATATTCAAATGTTTTGATATTGTATGATAGTTTAATGTTTTGTAGTTAAATTTTGTGTTTCTGCTTTTATATGTTTGAGAAAACTGGAAAAATAAACATAAAACAGGAGCTGAATGTGAATTTTGTACAACATCTATGGGGACGACACGTCGTTGCTATAGGTCTAGCTATGGGGACGACACGTCGTTGCTATAGGTCTAGCTATGGTGACGACATTTCGTCTCTATAGGTCCAACAATGGGGACGACAACCATGAACCAACAACGACGATATGTCATCTTTAAAGCTACCTATGGCGACGATATCTACAGCGACGAAAAAAGCTATCTATTGCGACGGGGCTATAGCAACAAAGGCATATAGAGACGACTTGTCCTCACAGCCATCTATAGGGACGACTTTCTAACCTATAGAGACGACAAATGTCGTCCCTATAGGTCCCTTTTCTTGTAGTGAACGTGCTTATGCCCCTAACAAGTCATCAAAGGAATTTCTGCTAAAAACGCAATTGTTAAAGATATAAATGAAGGGTGATGAGACTTATGTTGCCTATCTAACTACCGCACAAGAGTATGCCACTGCTAACAGTGGGCAGCCCATGTCAGAAAAAGATATTGTTATGGTAGTTGTTGCAGGTCTTCGGGATCAGTACAACTGAGTCAAACAATGTCTTCTTTCCAGGCAGTTTACCACCGTCTTCTCTGAACTTCCTGCACTCTTAGCTGATCATGAGTTTCTAGTTCAGAAACCAGTTTTCGAGGTTCCTCCGGCTCAAGCCTTTGCTGTCAACACAACCACCACTGGAGCTTCTTTTCCGACAGATACAATTCAAGCCATACAACATCTTGTGTCTCGTCTTGGATTTCAACTCCTGCCTACACCTACTGCAACATCTACACAGACTCCTCAGGCATACTACACAAACAACTCTGGATCTCCTAGTAACAACAGAAACCGAGGTGGGTCTTGTAACCGTGGTGGACGTGGAAATCATAATCAAGGAGGAGGACAACGAAATTCAAATCAGTTCAATTGGGCTTCTAACCAAAACATTGTGTATGGGACTTGTAACAGGTGTGAGATTGGTCATATTCCATCCTAATGCCCAAACCGCGATACATCCACCATTCAGGGAAGACAACAAGCATCCGCAAACTATACGGATAATCGCTCAACCACCACCTCTATGTCTTGGCTTCCGAATACAGGCTCTAGCAATCATGTGGCATCGGACATGACAGGTTTCACTTCAGCCACATCTTACTATGGTGATGACAATCTTCATGTTGGCAATGGTAAGGCTCTTCTTATCTTTTACATTGGTTTTTCAAAACTTTACTCACCTACCAAAACTTTTCACCTAGACAACATCCTTCATGTCCCTGAGATCAAGAAACATCTTCTTTCTGTCCAAAAATCTCATGTCTTCAATGTTTTTACACACTTTGTAAAAATGGTTGAACGCTAGTTCTCTAACCTCAAATCCGTTCATACTCGGGGAGGAGAGTTTTGGAAACTATCCGACTTTTTCTCCTCAATCGGTGTCATTCACCATCTTTCGTGCCCTCATACTAGCGAACAAAACGAAATCGTTGATAGACGTCACCGTCACGTTGTTGAAACCGGCCTCACCCTCATGACACAATCTCATGTTCCTCAGCGTTTTTGGCACTTTGCCTTTGAAACAACAGTCTACCTCATACATCGTATGCCATCCCGATCCAACTCCACCATCTCTCCGTTTGAAATTCTATTTAAACACAAACCCAATTTCTCTTTCCTTCATGTCTTCGGATGCTAATGTTATCCTCATCTTCGATCGTATAATTCCAATAAAATGGATTCTCGATCTATCTCTTACATTTTTCTTGGCTATAGCACTCTCCATCACGGCTATCGATGCTTCGACCCTCGATCCGAGCGTATCTACATTGCTCGTCATGTTCACTTCAATGAACATTCGTTTCATTTTTATACACCATCACCCAACTCCTCACCCACCACACCATCAAACCCCTTATATCTCATCATATCCAACCTCCACACCTATTCGTACACCTATCCCCACTACACCCATTACCATTCCAACTCAAACCTACTCGCATCGCCGCAACGCACCTAACCCTTCACATCAAACTTTCGCATTCGATCGCTTTGCCACATCTCAAAACAACGAAAACCAACCCCAAAACAGTCCCACCAGCCCTCAAACCTATCCCACCATCCCCCAAAACAGCCCCGATAGCCCTCAAAACAGTCCCGACAACCCTCTAAACAGCCCTGACAGCTCTGAAACCCAACCCACCAGCACCCAAACCAACCATACTCGTCCTCCCCGACCTGCTCATCTTTGCTAAAATCCCAAACAAACCAAACCCTTTGATCCCTCAGCCGTCCACACCACTATTACCTAGAACCCTCCACTTTTACCGAGGCTAACAAAGATTGTCATTGGCGTAAGGCCAAGACAGATGAATACTTGGCACTACTCCGGAATGGCACCTTGTCATTAGTTCCTCATAATCCTGGTTCCAATATTGTAGGTCGAAAATGGGTCTACAAGATCAAGCGGGATCAACATCAGGATGATTCAACGCTAAAAAGCGCGTCTTATTGCAAAAGGTTTCAAACAACAACCGTGCATTGACTACACCGAGACATTTAGTCCACTGGTGAAATCCACCACCATCAGAGTTCTTCTCTCTCTTGCGGTTACAAAACAATGGCCTCTCCGACAACTTGATGTCCAAAACGCGTTTTTACACGGTGACCTAAAAGAAACAGTGTATTTAGAACAGCCTCAAGGCTTTGTAGACCCTCACAAACCAGGATCATGTGTGCCTTCTCCACAAATCTCTCAATGGTCTCAAGAAGGCACCAAGAGCTTGGTTTCATAGGCTCTCCTCAGCTCTCCTTGCTCTCGGCTTCCAAGGCTCCAAAACAGATCCATCTCTATTATCTACTCGACTCATGGTGTTGATGACATTATTCTGACAGGGAACAACAACAAAGCCATCAATCATGTTATTCAGAGCTTTAGCACCTCCTTTGCTGTTAAAGACATGGGTCTGTTGTCATACTTTATTGGTATTGAGGTAGTTCGACATGGATCTGACATCGTTCTCTCTCAACAAAAATGCATATAAGAACTGATGACCAAAGCAAACCTCTCAAAAGCTAATCTGGTTCCCTCCCCGTGCACTACTGGTTCCACTCTTTCCATTGAGGACAACGCCCCATTCGATGATCCGGTCAAATACAGACATATGGTTGGCGCCCTTCAGTATGTTACCTTATCTCGGCCTGGTATCATCTTTGAAGTCAATGAAGTCTGTTAATTTATGCACTCACCCACCATCAATTAGTGGTCTGCGGTGAAACAGATCCTTCGTTACCTACTTGGTACGTCCAATCACGGTCTCTTCCTGTCTCATTCCTTTCCTTCAGTGCTTCATGCCTATACCGATGTCAAGTTCAACTCTGTTAGTGCCTTTTCGGATGCCGATTGGGTTGGTTGCTCGGATGGCCATCGATCCACCGGGGGATTCACGATATACCTTGGTTACAATCTTATTTCATGGTCTGCTAGAAAATAGAAGACTGTATCTCGGTCATCCACAGAATCCGAATGTAACTACCCAAAAACCAGGGGTAAAAATTTCATTTTTAATATAACCCAAACATAGATACCATTTATTCCAAACATTCCAAAACATTTATCAGAGTTCATCCCAAAATCATTCGCTGCGAAAAACATGGGTGTATACGCTGCGATCAAGCCGAGTCATTCCTTTCCAAAACAATGATACCTGAAACCATAAACAAAACTGTAAGCACAAAGCTTAGTGAGTTCCCCAGAGCATACCCCATACAATCCACATAATCACATAATCCATATTAGCTACATCAGCTACATATCCACATAAGCCATATCAATCACATAAGCCATGCATATAATCATATAAGGAATCCGTGAAAACCCTCCAAGGTCTTACTCCGGGTGCCATTGGAATCCCCTCATGGTCTTAGCCCACTCTCATGGGAACCCCCACATGGTCTTCCATAACTACCAATCAAACCATACATACAAACATATGAGCTAAGCATGAAAACATATAATGATGCCCTAGAAACCCTCCAAGGTCTTACACTCAAGTGCCTCGGGAACCCCCCGAGGTCTTTACTAAGGAGGCCATGGAAACCCTCTAAGGTCTTACACCAAATGCCACGGGAACCCCCACATGGTCTGATATCCCACTGCCTCGGGAACCCCCGAGGTCTTCCATGCAAGCAACATAGAGTCAACTAGCACACCGTATATCACAGAAATATCTAGCATACCACATATCACATAATAGCTAGCATACCACACAACACATATAACTAATTGTAATGGAAACCCCCACATGGTCTTAGTCTACGGCCTCGGGAACCCCCCGAGGTCTTCCATGCAAAGTCTAACTAGATAACACATAATCAACTCGCATATCACATATTATAAAATGGGTCGGTCTTGGTGCCTTAGACCCATTGGTATGGTGAGGAGACTCACCTCGCACTGCTGAAGTCCGCAAACAAACTCTAGTTGCTGGATGACAAATTCCCGAACTGTCAATCATCAAAATAACACCCAATCAGTAATTGGGTTCCAATGCATAACCACAACTCCATACTTGGGGTAAGGAGACTCTCTTACCCCTAACCTAGTTTGGTTCAAAACAAAGGCCGAAACTCAAACTCTGAAACCCAAAGCCAAATAATCAATCAAGGCCCAACATATGGCCCAATTTTCCAAATTGGGCCCAAACCTCTATATGGGCTTATCTTAAGGCCCAACCATTTATTCTAGTCCAAACAATTGGCATTCCGAGGGTCCAATATCTCATAATCTTCAAGGCCTAATTATGGCCCACTTATGGCCCAATTTTCCAAATTGGGCCCAAGCCTCTCCAATGGGCCTTATCCTAAAGCCCAATAACTTCCTTAGTCCATAAATATGTTCCCAATTGTCCCACAAAGGCCCACAGCAGCTTAGTCCAATAAATGGCCCAATAAGAACCCAAACCCAATTAGGGTTTTTCACATAAAATGACGATTAGGGTTAAGTGTTCCTACTTAACCCATTAAGGAGTTAACCCATTAAGGACTTAATCCATTAAGTTCATCACTCCAATAGGCCAAACATACCATGTGGTCGGGTGTGATTCAAAATTCCAAATCCAGCGGTCCAAACACGGGTCCCGACAAATCCAAAATATACATTTCCAAAATTAGGGTTTTCTAAACCCTAATTAGGGTTTCCAACCCATTACAACCCAATTAGGCCAAAAAGTTAAGTCCTTAGGCCCATTAGGGTTTCATAGGTCGGGCACCACCCACTACCACCTCAGGTAGTGGTGGTCAACGACGGCTCATGGTGGTGGTTATGGGTCTAGTCCATTTTGTCCAAGCGTCCCAAAC